TTTTGTACCGGACATATTCTCTAAGAAATTAAATAGATTTTGTCCGGTACAAAATATAATTGAAAGCCCGATTAGGGTTTTCCCTTGGCGGCACTCAACAAGAAAAAAAACATAGCATAAAAATCTCCCCGAAGAATTCTCAACTATTTTGTGCAACGAGGACTTAAGCACATGATCATTCTCTCAAATTGCAAAAACTTAACTATGATATTTAAATTTATTTGTAACAAAAACAAAATTAGATACGTATTCAATCGAGTGATTTAAATTCACCATATATGTGTTATTTTTTTCCTATAAATGTCTCAATTGAATATCAAAAAAAAATTTTCCACTTCGCCGTCGCTCTCTTGTAAATATTTTTTAAATAAATCCTTGATAATACTTTACATAAACATTTTAAATTTATACATTTCAAACTCAAAATTGTCCATTCACTTTATTTATACCCTTTATATCTAACTGTCCTTTAAAAATGACGTTATCATTATTACCAGATACATGTGTAGAATGTAGACGAACTCTTAACAGTAATTCATGGTGTCCATGCCAAAACGAAAGGAGCGTGCGAAATTTAATAAATGGGCTACTGTAGTAATCACAAGAAAATGGACAATCTTATTCAACTTACCCAACGCTACACGCAAAAGAGTATGAATTACTTTTTGTTGAATTGGATTCCATTTGATGATCTTGACTGCATTAAATTTAAATCACGCGGTTCTTTTAGCACTATTTATTCCACAATATGGATACAAGAAGTCGTTGGAATAAAGATGATGCTGGCGGATCAAAAATGGTCCAACTGAATGTGCATTAAAAAGGATTGAAAATTTTCAATTAAGTACTGAGTACTTAAATGATGTTAGTGCACTCTTTTATATACTGTACGTACGTACGTACGTATTTGGATTCGTAAAATCTTCGTATTAGCGTTAGATTAAAAAATGATCTGCTTTTATTTTATTTAGGTTTTGAAACATCATCAGTATATATTTGTATTTATATGATGAATTGTGGCTGGTTTCTTTGACGTATCGAGATCCTAGAGGTTGCTTAATTTTCGTTATGAAACTATGCGATAAAACTTATATCAATATATTAGAAAAATGCGATCTTTATACTTCATAGTGTAGTATAATAATAATGGTCATTATCATGGCAATCTTCATGATAGAAACTTGTTCATTTCGGCTAATAGTGCAATAATCACATAAGTCGGTTTATACGGTCCAACAAATTCCGGTATTTATGGTGTCTAGCCTTATGATGCACCGGAAGTATTAATATACATAAGCATCAGACATATATAGTTTTGGTCTTATAATGTGGACTTTATCAGAATTCGAGCTTGCAACACGCATATGTAATGGTTTACGACCAGAAATCGTTACTAATATTCCGGAAGTATACTTATCATTAATGAAACCTATTATTAATGAAAAGATACTGGCATCAAAACCCTGAGGAATGTCCTAATGTCGTAGAGTTATGTGAGATGTTAGATAGTTGGACAACAGCCATACAACATAATCCTACTTCGATGATTTCGTAACAATTTCGGGACGCTAATAAAAAAAATATGGGGTGTCAGTAGAAACCAAGCAAATTGTTTTTAGTAAGTTTGTTTTTAAAACTTTAAATTAAAATATCTCAACAACTAATAGAATTAAAATAAAAAATTTTTATCAAGTTTTGGTTTAATAGTTGCTGAGATATTTTATTCTAAAGTTTAAAAAAATTTTACTTAGAAACAATTTGCTTGGTTTCTACTGACACCACCCCATATGTATTCGAGAGTCGAACTATTGACCCTAGGGCAATATACAAGAGTCACTTTCAACCTCTTCACACTATAAATAATCACTTATTTAAATATCGATACGAAATTTGAAAATTGAAATTTAAGGTACTTATAACGATAATTTAATTTTTATAGTGGCAAAATCTACTATGATTTATGTCGATAATATAATTTTTCTAGAGTGACCGATTTTTTTTTTTTTTTTACAAAATAATTACAGATATCTTCATTTTCTAGAACAGCTAAAAATTATATGATCGATTCGATAAGTTACCGGGCCAGAACTAAATAAATTGTCGATATCAACAGATATAAATTCGTTCATCCTATTGTCCCAGGATTTTGAAAATGGTTGTTATAGCATTATAATACATAAAGAAATATAGTGCCGGTTTTAAAAGAGGCCAAGTGAAACGAGGGTGAAAGAAATGTAAAAAGAATTGTCGAAAGAAAATCAAAATTTATATATTTTTATAATTTTATTAGATCTCAAAAAAATTATAATATAATTAGTAAAACATTATATCATAGTAAATAGAAGCGGGTACTATACTAAGGAGGTACTGGAATGGTGTAAAGGTATTATGCTAATGGATAAAAAAGAATTTGTAATTTCTGAATTATCATTACAATTAAAGTTGTTGTTCCTACAAAGAGTGTCTCTAACCTCTCTTCCTCCAATTATGCCAATCTGACTTTCTTTAATTTTTAATGAATTTAAGGTCTTGTTCATGCAAAGCACGCCTACAAAGACCACACCTCCAAGCGTTCCAAGATTATTGTTAGAAACGTTTATGGACATTGTCGTGGGGTTAATGAATGTATATAGTTATACACTCAATTCCGCTCAGAGGTTCGTTAAGTCTTGCACTCGCTTGTACGCAGCTACGTTTCTTACTCAAACGCTGTCCTCTTCAATATAATAACTTCTCTTGACCTTACTAACTCAATTAATCCTTTCTTCGAACCATTTGTCCTATTTTTACCTTTACCAGATCTTTCATCACTCACTGCTCCAATTCGATTTTCATAACAGTAATCAACATATCGTTCTCCACCACCAACATCTTGACCCACATCTTTATATTCATTCTTTTCATCTTTTACAAACCATTTACCCTTTTTACTCCACATTTCTACGTCTATCCCATATTGATAACACCATCCAATATAATCTCGTCCATCAAGACTTTTCACTTCAACAGGTTTCAAGTTTGATGCAAGTGTTCTTTTATCCATCATTATACCGATTCGATATTGATTATTATCATCATCGATTTTTAAATACCATTCAAATGCCGTACGATCACCTTCAGCAGATTTTTGAAAATAAACGAATGCCATATATTCATTCGTTTCAACTCCTATTTTGTTTTGATAACAGTGTCCAACAATGTATGATTTTTCATCATTGTTCAGCTCAGCAGGTTTTTGATAATTAACGAACGTCTTACGTTCATCATTTTCATTTTCATCACCGTCACCCAGCCCTGTTGATTTCATATACCATTCAAAAGCCATACTTTTGTCTTCGTCAACTTCAGCTTCATTACAACGATCAACATCACCATCTACGTTTTCGCCATCATCACCATCTTTTACACCATGTTCAAACATCACAGGCTCATCCATTTCGACTCTAATTCTATCTTGATCACAACGTCCAAGGTTGTTGATTTCGTAAGAAATTCCTATTTCATCGGATTTTTGATAATGTATGAATGCTTTACATTCATCCTTTTTAACATCAACACCAACTTCGCAAGATTTCGCTTCGCCAGATTCGTCGATTTCAACACCAATTCCATTTCGATGACAATCGTTAATGGTTTCACAATCATAATTGTACCTTCTGATATGACTTTCCATATTTGCCGGTTCTTGATAATAAATGAATGCCTTTTTCTCATCTTTCTCGGAACCAATATCGGGATCATCATTCATTGTTTTATTATTTGTCACCGGGAAGTCCTTAGTTTCGTTCTTTCCCGTTTCACTCGATTCATTATTATCTGTATTACTAACTGCATTCTCTTCTTCCTTTTTCATGCCTTTTATTCGTGCTTCCACCATCAAAGCTACTTGCTTAGCTTGATCGTAGGACTCAGGTAAGAGAGCTTCGATCTCATAGAGCAGTGTTGGGTTGGGACAGGGACAGGGACACGGACAACGGACAGTCCGGGATGGGACGTCCCGGACATGTCCGCCAGAATGTTAACGTCCCGGACAATAAAATTACAATAAGGGCT